TCAGTTCTTAACTGTAAAAAAATATCATTGCTCATTACTTCTACACCTCTCATCACTGTATTAGCAGAAAGTTGCATAGATTTTATAGCTGAAACTATCTCGTCTTTATTTTTAAAGTTGGCAAATAACGAATCAGCAGCTTCTAAAAACGCCTGTTTTATCAGTTCCCCGTCTTCATAAGGTTTCTTTTTTGTGCAATTATCTGGGACACACTGTACGATGCTTCAGTTGCAGCCTTATTTTTGTCGACTGTTCTTAAAAATATTGATTGTTGTCCAATTAACTGCTTTTTTAATTGTTTCAGTTTCTCCTTTCTGGCGGCAGAATGTAGTGGGAATGATTTTTCAAAATTAGAATGTACAGTTTTATGATGTCTCTCAATATATTCTTTTTTAGCAACGGAGACCGAAGTATTACATAACAAACACATTTTTATCTTTAACTTCTGTAAAAAAGTATTGTTCTTCCCATTCCGAATGAAAGTGGTATGTCTTTACCTTCTTAAAACTGCTTGCCATAATATTATTTTTTGTTGTTCTCTACTAACCCAACCGCTGGACGTTGGTTACACGTTCAGTTTTAAACTAAGCGCAATGTCGCCGCGCCGTGCGTATTTATCCCGTTCAAAGCAATCCTGATCGTTCTCGAACACTAACGCGCTGGTCCGGCTGGTCGGTTCTAGCCGATTCTAGCTTGATGGCGTCAGAGGCAGATCGCTCACCGCAACGTTGCCGCTGTTTATGTTTAATATTATGACAATTAGATTTTTTTGTGGAATTTTCGGAAGCTTCTCTGATTTTTGCAGTTTGTATTTTTTAAATTAAAATCGTTGTGAGAGCTACCAGAATTGCCTCCGCGAGCTACCGATAGCTCGCGATCGACAGGTTGGCGACCACTGATCTAAAGAATGCGATAATATTTTAGTATCGGTCTCCTTGTGAGAACTCTTCGAGTCAAATCGGCACAGATTGCGGTAGATATTACTGTATTCATAAATGAACAAACGAGACATAAGTTGCGTGGTTTCAACGTATATTTCGTTAGATTGACATATATTTAGGTAAGTGCTGTGCAGGTCAGCCATACAGCTTATACTTCCATTTCAGAGAAATTACTTTATACAATTAAAAAACTCAACAGAGGATCCAGTTACTTTCGATGATTCTTCAGCTTACATATTTAAAAAAAATAAGTCTGTAAATAATAAAACAGGCATAAAAATATTTGTCAAACGTTTATTTTAATATTATTAAATAATTGTAGGCTTTCTAATCCCTAACTGTAACGCCACTGGTAATTTTTAACTTTGTAAAAACGCATTTTTTTGTTTCCCTACTTTATCCTTTAAACTGTAATCGTCCCCATGCGTTTTTTTAAATTTTGACTGCACCCGAAGATGGAAACAAAGTTTTCCGAAACATATCTAAATAACACCGAAAAAATTAAAGGGGTGATTCTGTGATGAAAATTAATGTGAGTGTTTGGTATAAAATTTTTTTGAAAAAACCCTCCCCGGAAAAGTTACACCCCTTCGAAAATTAAAAAAAAAAAAAAGTTTTTCTTTTTTATTTTCCCTGTATATCAAGCTAAAGACACGAAACTTGGTAAACATTATCTGTCAATAAAAGTACACTTTTTGAAATTTTTTCAACCCTGAAGTATGCTTAGAAGGGGTTGAAATAATCAACCCCTAAGATATTTTTTCTTACAACCTTTTTTTAGATGAAAATTTTTTCTTTAAAAAAGTATGACTGAAAAGCCCAATAGACTTCTACAACTAAAAACAAAAGTGAACAAACAATGTACAAAAACCTGTCGAATATCGACAATACAATTATAATAAATGTTGAAAATGACCGCCTTCAGCTTCAATACAAGCATCTACCCTTTTCCTCATAGAATTGCGTATACGATGAAATATTCCTGGAGAATTTCTTATAGTTTCACACCCTGCTACAATGCGGTTTCGCAGATCATCGATATTTTCAACTGGGTTTGTGTATGTCAAAGATTTCAGATATCCCCATATGCAAAAATCCAAAGGATTAAGGTCAGGGGAGCGGGCTGGCCAGTTTACAGGTCCTCCTCGACCTATCCATTGATTGGCATACACCTCATCCAGGTGAGTTCTTGCACGTATACTAAAATGAGCTGGTGCACCATCGTGCATAAACCATAAATGTTGTCTAATTTGAATGGGAACCTCTTCAAGAAGAACAGGTAATTCTTCAAGGAGATGACAATATGCTTCACCATTTAATCGTAGCGGAAGAAAATGGGGACCAATTAAATGATTATCAATAATTCCGAGCCACACGTTTAATGAAAATTGATACTGATGATTTCCTTCAAAAAAGCCATGAGGATTTTCGTCAGCCCAAAGGTGATTGTTGTGAAAATTTCTAATACAGTCTCTTGAGAAACTCGCCTCGTCAGTAAATAAAATATTACCTAAGAACTGTGGTGCTTGGCCAATCATATTAATAAGCCACTGACAAAAAATCACACGGGGTAAAAAATCTCGAATCATTAACGCCTGCACCCGTTGAAGATGATAGGGATACAACATTTGTTCTTTTAAAATTCTAAAAACAACGGAATGGCTTACATGTAGGACACGAGCTATTCTCCTGGTACTAGTTTCTGGGAATTCTTCAATTGAATTAAGTACGGCTTCTTCTACAGCTGCAGTTCTAACTTCTATAGTACGACCAGAATCATAACTTCTTTTTTCAAAATTACCACGTTCCCGCTAGCGTCGGTGAATAGTTGTGAACGTAGTATGATGGGGTAGTCTACGCTGTGGGTACTGTTCAGCATAAAGTCTTTGCGCTTCCAATGAATTACCGTTAGCACGACCGTATGTAAAATGCATATCTGCCATTTCCAAATTCGAATATGCATTCATATTTTCAATCAACTAATATTTCCTACAATACACAATCATAAAACTTGTGAAACAATAAGATGGGTAACAGAAAATGACACTACACAATCCTGGTATCAGTTTTAATGTTTTTATGCAAAGCACAGGCCACTAGACTTGACGCAAAATACACTCGCGTTAGCTCATCTTTTTGAAAATGCATTGCATTAGATTTTTTTTCTCGTAAATGCTCAAGTTTTAGAAAAAACCTGTAGAGTTAAAAAAGTTAGTCAATGAATTGGGCTTTTCAGTCATACTTTTTTAAAGAAAAAATTTTTGTAAGAAAAAATATCTTAGGGGTTGATTATTTCCCTTCTAAGCATACTTCAGGGTTGAAAAAATTTCAAAAAGTGTACTTTTATTGACATATAATGTTTACCAAGTTTCGTGTCTTTAGCTTGATATACAGGGAAAATAAAAAAGAAAAACCATTATTTTTTTTAATTTTCGAAGGGGTGTAACTTTTCCGGAGAGGGTTTTTTCAAAAAATTTTATACCAAACACTCACATTAATTTTCATCACATTTAATGTTTTCGGTGTTATTTAGATAGTGCTGTGCTAATGATAAAAAATAAAATTAATAACCGAATAAACCAAGGAAATTTTTATTTATATATTTCCTTTTAATGTCATATTGATCTTACTGGTTTTATAATACTCTTAAGATTGGCTATTTTAAAACTAATTTGCTATTTTAAAGGATTATAAATAGGAAGTCGGTTTTAAAACAATTCACGAGTATTCGAATGTTTCCAATCATTAGAATTAGGAACTCGTGTGTAAAGTGCTACAGGACACAGAACAGATAATGCGCTGCACAGCGATCTTTGTTTCACGTGTGGTCCTATTATACCTTGTCCACTTCATTGTAAAATAGATAATCCGCGTCTAGATTCCCGTACCTGTGTAGTGGTTTTTGTTTAAATATTTACTTTTCATTAATTTTTGAATTTTGTATATTTTCCTGTCACCATGTGCATTAATCTGTGATTCGAAAATAAGTAATTTGGACGTTTTAATGTTTAATTTATTTAAAATCACAAATAATACTACTCCTTGGGTTAATACAAACAACACGAAAACGAAATCCCAAATTATTATTAATTTAAAATATAATGAATAAATCTCAAAGCCAATATCACATAATTACGAGCAACCGTTTCCCTTCAGAAAACAACTACTTCTTTGGCTAATACCGCAACAGGTATTGAATTATATCCGAAGGAAAAACAGCAGAGTTAGAAATTAAATTTCAACACTCTGCCTTTGATTTTACTCACTACGGAGAACATCATTCTTGGACCGGTTTCATCCTTATTAGGACTCTTCAGCAAGAAATAGATAGGTTCTCAATTCCAGTCACTAATGGAATTAACAAATGCTACACATTTCACCAATATATAATAAAGTTAGTTATGAAGAGAATAAGAATTCAAGTAATGAAATGGTGTTGCCATCTGTTCTTAGTAAGCAAAATTAAAGGGTGTTTCTTAACTAACTTTATTGTATACTGGTGAAATGTGTAGCATTTGTTAATTCCATTAGAGACTGGAATTGAGAACCTATCTATTTCTTGCTGAAGAGTTCTAATAAGGACGAAACCGGTCCAAGAATGATGTTCTCCTTAGTGAGCAAAATCAAAGGTAGAGTGTTGAAATTTAATTTCCTTCGGATATAATTCAATACCTGTTGCGGTATTAGCCAAAGGAGTAGTTGTTTTCTGAAGGGAAACGGTCGCTTGTAATTATGTGATATTGGCTTTGAGATTTATTCATTTTATTTTACGTCTATCAAATTTGAGTTTGATTTATTTTCGTTTCTTATTATTAATTTGTGCAGCAGTTAAGTTCAAATTTGTGATTTGGCTAAAAACACCTTGAATCGAATAATATGAAGTTTTACATATCATAATAATAATAATTATTATAACAAAATCTATATACCGATCATGTCCTTGAGCGGATATTTTCTTCGTGCGCGCCGAAAGAGATCAGACGATTTGGTAATTTGGTTGCCGAGTGCTTGCATGCGACTTGCGTAGTTTATCCGTTGGTTGTTTCTTTTTTTTTGCAGTCTAAAGTTTCTGTTCCTCCCCAGAGTCCGATAAACAAAAACAAAATGACCGCAGGCGCCACCACCAACAACGCCAGAAAAGAGAAACGACAGTCCAGGTTCAATATCAGCAGGAATCAGGAATTGGACGCGCTGCCGCCTTTGAGGGGTAAGTGTTTAATTTTTGTCTTCATAAATATTGAAATCAAACCTTTCTCATTACGTATGCATACTGGAACCAGTGGAGGCTCCTGGTAATTTAAAAAGTGTATTCACTTTTTTCCAATAATTTTATCTCGTTTGTTGGAAATAAGAATATTATTGGAATACGGTTTAGGACAAAACTCAATTAGTTTTTAATTTTAGCAAAAAAAAAATAGGAAAAAAAACAGCTACAACCTTCTGGCTTTCGTTCTGCGCATGATTTTTCTGTTCGACGTTAATCTATACCGAGTTATCTACATAATGCCGTTTTCCCGTTTGAATCGGACCAATAGCAATAAAGATACACACTTAGGCCCTTTATTTATATCACTTTTAAAAAAAATTTATATCCAGTTACTGCATTGATTACTTTTCATGTATTTAGTCTCTTAATTTAATTTGATAGTAGTCATTTTTTGTTTTTTTATTATTATTGTATTTAATTTTGCAAGTCTGTCATCCTTATGTTATTTTTTCCATTTTTGCGATAGGCTTCACTTTTAAAAGTGTATTAAAAATAGCGTGTTAAAAATATTTTTATCACAGCAAACTTGACGATTATTTAAACGTCAAAATTATGGTAAAAGCAGTAATAAATATAATTTTCAAAAGTAATTTTTTATTATTGTTAACATTAACTAAAACTACATATGAATATTTTTTACTAATCTTGCAACCAGAACTATTACTCGTAATATTAATTCCTTAATGTAGAAAAGGCTATATCTATACTTTTGTGATTTTAAAACTAATAAAAAAATTTCAAGAAATGTATGCATGTACAGTTATAATTTCTTAAACATCCACAGTCTCACTAATGAGAGAAAAAAAATAGGGACAATATTGATCTAACTTAAATAATCGATGTTTTATTTTTAGATTTTCACATGAATTTTTTAGCATTGTATGTCTCTAATTATAAAATTCTAAACTAAAATTTTCCATTTCCAATAACTAAAATTACATTTAAGCTAATAGTCCAGGAGCCAGTGAAGTTTTTTGGTACTTCTTTTCCTAGTCAGGAAACACCGATAGAATTATTTGGTTTGTTATTCTAAGCAAAATTCTTATATATGTGGAGGAGGTGAGTTCCGATTGGTTGAGGCGATAAATGTCAAATATTTATGACTGGGAAAATAAGTGGACTAGTCTTTTTGTTTAGCTAGACTCACAAATTGTCATCTTGTGTCACTATCCAAAAAAAAATTCACTGTTTCCTGGACTATATAGATCGTTCCTAAATATTTGCTTGACCAAAAAACTTTTATTCCAATAACTCTCTAATGCTAGTTAAACATAATGCTTCGTTTTATTTAAAAAATTCAACATATTGCTCGCCTATATAAATTTGAATATATTTCTATTAATATTCATTTAAGTTTCGTTTCGTTTGAATAATGTAGTAAGGATTAAAATAGTTGAAAGGTGGCAGGCACGGGTAGAGCTGAGAATGTTGACATCTATTATTTATTTGTTTGAATGTATAAATTAGTGAAATTACGGTTTCACTATTATTATTCTTTTTTATTATTTCGAAAATACACATGTCTTTCACGGAAGTTTTCACTTTGACGACAGACGTTTTTCAGATTGTTTATCTAACGTTTGTTTTTTTTTGTACATGCTGTTATAACTGTTTGGTAAAGTTTAACTAAAATCAATTGAACGTATTAATAGTATATTATGCAACGATAAATATTCAAGAACTATAAATATTATATTTGTATTGAACACGGGCCGTATTCATAAAACTAAAGGATATCCTTGTAAGTATAAGGTAGAAGTATATGGTTTTAAGTTGAAGAAAAAGGTAGGAGTATAAGCATTTCCTTTTCTTCGTATTCATAATGATTACCCTATAATTGCAAGGATATCCTCCAAGAATACGTAAAAGATTGCGTGCCGCGGCAGATTAAAACCTGTTTTCGATGGTTTGTTTATTTACGGTATTTCTTTCTTATCGGAGTTAATTTAATTTAATTAGTGCAGTATACTTCGATCAGAGAAGATGTATTCGTCAAGCAGCGATAGTGAAAGTACAGAAAAAGATAATGCTACAACCGAACTGCAGTTTATAGCAGATGAAATTGCCAATGCCCCCGTAATTTTGGAAAAATCCCAAACACCAAAAATAAAAGCTAGAAAGGATGAGGCTATTAGAAATTTTACCTGGAAGTACGAGGTAACATTTGGTAAAGCACTTGATTCAAAAGGCTTTTTAAAGAAAATAAACAATATGAAAGGAAGGTTAAAGAAAAAAACAGACTTGAATAAAACTGGAAATAAACCAATCAAACTGTTGGAATGGGAGAAAAAGTTATTGAAGGCTATGGAGGGCGACAGTAATCCTACAATTGAAAAAATCGGAGGCGCACTGCAAGTTGGTATTGAAGATGGATCTACTCAGCATAGAGTAAGTGAAGCTTCTACTACGCGAAAAGAGACTGAAACAGCCATCAAACCACAATCTAGTAGTACCAAGACTGTCGAATCTCCTCTGCCAACAAGAAAAAAAAACACCAATAGAAAAGTACGAAACCAATGAAACGAAAGGACTCACAACCAAAGAGCTTCAACGGCTAGTTCTTTTAGAGCAGTATCAAACAACTAAAATTCAAAGAGAATACTATGAAAAAAAATTGCAAAGGATGACGCGTGATGCACCAGAAACAAATATTGTTAACGAGGGGGAGTTATCATACTACAATATGTAAACAATTTACCAAATTTTCCCGTACAACGGTATTATATCGATAATATAATATGTTGTTATAATAATACTTAATATTATGTTAAGTAACTTATTATTATTATTTTTGTAGGATATCTAGTTTCTTTAAAAAATCCTTAGATCATAAGGATTTAAAATAAGAATGGTTAATTTATTATTATTAAAAAATTTGCAATAAAATAAAAATAAAAAGTTTGCGTTATTAAATAAACTTAATAATTATTTGAATTTTGTTTTTTAAAAACCAAAATGATCTAATGGCGTAAATAATAAAACTAAATTAAATTTGAACTTTTATTTTATACAGTACCTAAATTTAATTGTCAAAGTTGTTTATTACAATGCTCAAATTTCTTCTCACTTCCTGTCCCCGTTGGCGAAGAGGTAGCTCAACGTCGCCATTAATATCATTGTCATCTTCTTCTGGCACTCCTTCTTCAGGTGCTTCAAAATCGATGTCTTTCAAAGTTTTTGTCACATTATGAAGCCCAATACAGGCAACAATTATTTTTGGCACATTCTCCAATTTCACTCGGCAAACATGTTGCAAAATAGGAAATCGACGTTTCATTTGACCAAAACAACGTTCAATTATCACTCTCTCTTTTTTCAAAAGTTTATTATAATTTAGTTCAGCACCTGGAGCGGGATTTCTGAATGGAGTCATGAGCCACGGCTCTATACCATATCCATCATCAGCAAGTAGCACGATGTTGGTTTTATTTTGTAAATGAACCCTTATTTGTGAATTTCTCCATATTCTTAAATCGTGGACCGATCCAGGCCAACTAACGTCTATACTAGTGAACATTTCTCTTGCATCACAAGTGGCTTGCACATTCAGTGTTGGATGACCTTTTCGGTTGACATACTCATCACCATGGCGATTTGGTTTTAGAATTCCTGCGTGGGTACAGTCAACTGCGCCAATTGCTGTGGGAAACCTATACTTGTTTTGTCATAACTGTTTCGCTATCATAAATTCATTTATGGTAGTCGGAAACTTTATCCAGTCATTTAATTGCGCCACTATGCTGTCAATTACGGTAGTTACTGTACGAGATACTGTAACGAGATAGCGTAAACATATCTGCATTTTAAGGACGGATGATAACGCACCTCCTCGAGTTTCAGCATTTATTCCCAAAAATCTGTTAGCAAGCCATTGCACATTTCCCGGTATAATTCTTTGTAATCACGAACAGGTGTTGGATAAACGCTGCTTGTAGTGTTTAATCTCTCTCAATTCCACAATATCTGCCATCGCTACAACTGATCACTACACGACTGATGTGAGTCTGCTACTGACCACACTCGAAATTATTGAAGGATATTCTTTTTAGTTAGAGTAAAAGGTAACGTTTATGAATAACCAAATACTTTTTGTGAAGGATTTGCTCATACTCTATAAGGTTTTACTCGGAATATTATGAATGCGAGATGAAGGATTTCCTTTATATTCTCCAAGTATAAGCATAACCTTTTTTTTATGAATACGGCCCAATAACAGTAATTACTCGTATTTCTATAAAAATTGTATAAAATTGTAATTAATGGTATTACCTCGGGTATTGGTATTACCATAGATTTTTGGGGTAAAATATTTTGTACTGCATTTTCTGCTTTCTCCGATATGTGTGGAGGAGTCGATGGTAAGTCTTTTATATCGCTGGTATCAAACATTTTGATAATATAATTATCGAACTTTAGCTATCTACAAAAAATTAATACGTACTGATTTTGACAACTAAAACAATTACATAGGAACCTAGGACAAACGTCAAATGCACAGCATGCTTGATTGAAAAATTATGGGTTTCTATTGATTAAAAATCTGTATCGTTATGAAAAATCTGTATCATAATGGGTGATTATGGGCATATAAGTGCATTATAATACGGGTGTAGAAAAAATTTATTATTTCCGGAAATATTGTATTCAGAAATATAATAAAACTTCGAAAAAATGGTTACTGTTTAAACAATGCCACCAAGTGCTCGTTTAAACAACTAAATCAGAACTATATTTATATATGTAACTAAACAATCAGTTTGCTTTTAATCGATGTAATTTTTTTTCAAAATCTGATAAACGACACCGTAGTTAAAATAGTTTTATTAAATTAAGGTTCCCAAAAAAGTATTGGATAAAACTTGTGTAAAAGGACTCCGCTTATGGAAAAGTGGCGACCTGTTAAATGTCATAAATTTTTGATATGTTGAAGTTCTCGACCT